GTTCGTTCTTACGTGGAAACGATGTAATTATTTCGAGACTTAAATAGGCCGGAACACCTATGTAATTTCACCATGGTCAAATGCTTCTTGACAGAGCTTTCTTTTTTTTTTCTTTTTTTCTTTTTTCGTATACATATATATATATATATGTATATATCGACGCGAGTACACTTAATTGCACGTATCACGCGCCGAACAAAATGTTAGTATAATTGGCTTCTTTAATAGAGTCCTTGTTATACTTTCTAAGGCGATGATGAGCCGCCAGCCTATTTGTGCTACGCAATTAGTTTAATTAACAGCGATCGATCCGCGATAAGTGAAAGAAACAGGTATCATTTCGTCGTCACTGATAAGGTTAATCGTTGGAACGAGAAGAAAGATGTTGGTATCCGGTTCGCGTAAATTAACCACACGTTGACGGACATTCATTAGCCGGAATCGGGATCTAAACGGCATCGATTACAGATCGATTAATCGAATCAAAGTGTCGTCGTGCATCGTGCGTCGAATAAATATTGCATATATCGAGCAAACGTTAAGCAATCGCACTGGAAACAACCGATTTTTCGTTTCTTTATTCTTTTTTGAGTTTCTATTCTTACCTCTTTTTTTTTTTTTTTTTTTAAACCGATTCTGATCTTTAAGAATTGAACGGAGTTTTATATATATCGCTATATATCGTTGTCTCACTCGTAACGCGGCGAATTCTAAATTAATTTAAAACGCGCGATTTATTAATGTTCAATATCGCGAAACCACTTATTCCGTATCTTCTCGCAATTTTACTACTATCTACAATTATGGCCGGCATTTGTCTCTGAATATACATACGAGTGGACTGGTATGGTAGTTTTCAAGGCGAAAGGAGGGAAGGCCAGATAAGGTAATGTCTTGGCAATGGTACATGTGCTTTCGTTCACACGCGGATACGAATGATCTGTACCGATCATTATCTAACATGTCCCGGTATAACACAATTATTTGCACCGGTAGTACAACTGGCCGAGTTCCATGCAGATATCTATTTCGACATAACGCGGTATACGTACTCGAGAGGCTGGACAAAGGGGGGAGGGGGAAAAAAAAAAAAGAAAAAAGGAACGCCAACCGTGTGTCTTTATAACCGTGCGTCTTAAAACCTGCTTCTCTAAACTTTACAATGCTCCGTAACAGGGCCTACATCGTTGAGATAATTGTCAACGTATCGAGCGTTGCCACCGATTGTGAAAATTCGACCGTTTGCTTTTGATCGATGAAATCTAAGGAATGCAAGTTTTCTTTTCTTTTTTTCGTTGAAAACAAATTTTTTGCATACACGGGACAATGCAAATGTTTTTAAAAATATTAATATTAATTTTTAAAAATATTAATATTAGATAGATAGATTATATTTCCGCGAAATATCTCCACTCGTGTTTCTCGTATTCATATTCCTTCCATTCCTTATTAATACACCGAACCCGTAACTTTCTACTCGTTATCGAAAACGGGGGCTACGATTATCTCGAAATGATCAGTTTCAAAATATGCGCGTCTATAAAGAAACCGTAACGACTCACTTAGTTAACTTCTTTATGGTGTTCTTACGGAGCCGACAGATCCCACTTGCCGCTTATTAAGTTTATTAGAAATTACACGATTTATCCAATCTCTGTCTCCAGAGATCGATCATCGATTGGAATCGGCGCGCTCTATATACATAAAAATCAGCGACAGAAAAGAAATCTTTGATTTGGCCGTTCGAAAAACGTTGAAAATTGAAAGGAGGGGGATTTGGTGCCGTTCACGGCACCCCGCGGTGGCCGCTTCACACTTCGATCGACTCTCGCGAGTCCGCCGAGCGGGTTAGCCGCTCGGTTGCAATTATCCGAGGCAGTTCTTACACGCTAGAGGCGTGTGCGTGTAATACACGTGGCGCGTTGGAGCAGGTACAAGTTAGAGCAGGTCACTTTCGCTGCCGGCTCTCAACTGTTCCAGTCGTCGCGCACGCGTGCTGCTCCATTCATAAACTTATAGAGACGCGTATGTAAGCCTGGGCACGTAGGTGTAGTAGGAAATCGTGAGTTACACGGAAATGCACTATATCCGAGTTTCCACTATTCGATCTATCTTAATGCCTCGGTCGAAACTGAAATGGTTGAGATATGCGAGGGAAAAGCAACGTACACCCCTCCTCGAAAGTAGTTGGACAGTTTGCGAACGCTTCACGGTTTCGAAAATCGCGATATTTTGAACGATTAAGACGTATAGAAAAATGCATTAAAAAAATATATCGAATTTTTCTTGGGGACGATACAAGTCGCAAGAGGAAAGAGCGGTGGAGTGTAGGAAGGCGTTAAACTCTGTTCCAGAGTAGGATTCAAGATGCCGCGTTACATAATGCGAAATTATGTAAAATGTTAGCGCCGACTTTTATGCGTCGTTTTTCATGGCGGGCCGGCCGATTATGCACACTCATAACCACCACACCATAATGGATGATCTAGTATTCCGTAGAGAAGGTGCACGAGTTCGGGCAGTGCGAGCGTTTATTCGCTAAACGCCAAGTTTCGTAACCTTTTCAATTAAGAGCGGTGCAACCATGTTTTTAAAACGTGGAAACGTGGTGATCACGCGGTTGAAAAGTTTCGTTACTTTAAGAGAGATCGATTTCAGAGAGATCGAGGTCCGATAATCCGATCTTTTTCCATCTCGTTCCGATTTTAACTTCATCAGGAGGAGTAAGGAGGGGAAAGTATAATATCGTCACGCGATAAAATCTCGATGACGATCGATTTCTTGGATCGTCGTAATTTTATCTTCTTTTATGCGAAGAAATAATAAATCGCGTGGAAGATAAATTCTCTTGATTGCACGGGGAAGAATAAGCGCGTTAACCGAATCTACGCAGTGAGAAATACAATTTCATGGAAAAATTAATGTAATTCGTAATGGAACGCGTGTAACATCTCGCTTAAGCAGATGTTATTGCACAATTATAATGCTCATAATTTCTTCTAGACTCGTAGTTGATTGGCGTTAGATGAAGCTTGGGGTCAAGCGCACAAAAGTCGCAGAACTTTCCTTAGAAGGGATCCAACGGTCACGTTGGGTTCCATGTTGGAGCTTTTATTACGTTTTCATTACAACTTTCATGACATGTCTGAAAATTCTCCAACATTCGTTTCGAACGTAAATCCACGCTCCAGGAAGTATTTACGTGTTTTGTATTATAGATTTCCGTTAATTTTACCTTCCTTTCGAATCGCCACTCGTTCGCGCATCTGTATTCTTCATTCTTGTACGTTCGTTCTTCATCGAAACGAGTCGTACAAGTTATCATTATCCGCACGCATTATCATTGTGTTTCGTTGCCGTTTAGAAGCAAATAAGAAGCGTTAACACAGTCGCGCCGTTCAAATGATGAATTCAACAAGCCGGACAAAAACGCTCGATCGTTCGCGATTTTTAACGCGATGTTTATCTCTACAATAATCGTGATTATGCCGAGTTTGAAAATTAGTTCAAGTTGTCGTCACGTACTCGTTGCATATAGCTCGATGGTGAAGAAGCATGCACGCTACTTGGAGGAGCGCAAGGGCTACCGTTACAAAGCCTCTGTGAAAGTGCACTAACGAAAGTGTGAATACTAATGCGATTTTTGCACACACACTGTGTACAAAATGTTCGTACCACATTATGCCGGATCTGGAATTCACCGTTAACGTAGATAACGTTGCCTTTTTAGCATCTGGCCGATGACTAAAGCCGCACGAATTCCATTTATTTTCACGCGTTTGTACTCTGATTCATTGTTCGAAACGATCGAGGAAGCGGATAAAGTATCCCCTAAAGAACACAGGAAAGCAGCATTGTGTGTACAATACAACCATCTGACTAATAATACATTGCGAATTATACATTGAAAAATCACCGCGAATCTTCCGTATTTCGTGCAATTATGGATTTTTTTCTCCTTTTTTTTCTTTTTTTCTTTTCTTTTTTTTTTCTTTTTTTTTTTCTTTATATTTCAAAGAAAACACCACCGTGTTAGGTGAATATTTCTCGAAATTACAAGGTGCCTTAATGATAGCGAGGCAGGAGGAAAAGATTGGATAAAATGGAAATTTCCCTCGCGCTATCTCGATCTAACGATCTGAAATAATGTGTACACAGGAAACTCGATTAACGTAGAAAAATATCGAGCTGTTGATTAAATTGCAGGATGCTCGATCAAGGTACGAGCGCGAGTTAGAATGCTTGTGCATCTCGATTCACCGGTCAACTCTATCCTCTCCCCCTCCCTCCCCAACTATTAGCGTTAATCGATTATAGCGTGACGGATCGAATGATTTAAATAAAGACCGGGTGCGTCATGGGCCTGGCTCGCTTTCTGTCGACCGCGCCTGTCAAAATGATGCCATTGCATTCGCTCATTATGCTCAATCTGTTGTTACGTTTCTTTTCTTCCTTCTTTTCTTTTTTTCTTTTTTTTTTTTTTTTTTTTTTTTTTTTTTCGTAGCTAAATTAAATTCGATCAAGTGAAAGAACAAGCATTTTGGAAAAGCTTGTCACGGAAAACGAATTGTTTCAACGAAATGTTAAATAAATGAAGCAAAAACGATTGTGCATTTTGCGGTTAGACCGGTGGACTCGAGGTAACTTGACCAAGAATGCATCGAACACGGAACAACAATTACTCGCTTTTACTCGGGTTTCAGGATTTTAATTTAGCAGTTAGGAACAAGAAACGAGAGTAGAATTATGATAAAACCTTGCCGTTACTGGTTAAGTTTCCCGCAATCGTGCACACTAATTTCTAATGCAGATACGTGCGTTTGTATGTTGCAGGTGACGTACGCCGAACGGGCCAGTATTCATGCCAGTATGCCAATCAGATGCCAGTAGAGAGCCAGTATCTGTATCTGTCACCACCGATAGCCAATTAATAAGTTACTTAGATAGTTAAATTAATAGGCAATACAAAAGAAAAAGAAAAAAAAAAANAAAAAAAAAAAAGAAGAAAAAGAAAAAAAAAGTCAACGTTTTTTTGAATAATTGTTGTTAGAAGGCGTCGTTCAATAAGCGTGACAGATATATCACGTGTATTAATCGTACACGTATTCTACATATATCGATATATAAATATAAATATATACGTAACATAAAAAAAAAAAAGTATATATATATATATAAAATATAATCGAGGAGGAGCAATAAGTGTCGGAATCGTGTGAGCAATTATTTTATTCTCATCGTACTTTTTTTTTTCTCTCTTCCCTCCCTTTCCCCTCTCCCCTCCCCGCCCCCTCTCTTCTTCGACCATAATTTTCTCCGCTCGTTGATCGGTTTTCTTTTTTTTGAATTTATCGGTGACCGCGTATGATTCCCTGCGGAGAGTATATACATAAGATTGGACAGAGAGTGCAATCGAGTTGTGATTATCGAAGTGGACTGACCGATCGATTTCTCGGCTGTGAAGTGAATTAATATCCCAGGAAAACGATTGAAAACGGAGAAAGGAAGTGAGCAGCGAGTACAGACAACGGGCGAGCAACGGGTGGCTGGAAACGGTGACTTACATCGAGAGCGCCAACCTGCAATCAAGGTTCATGGTTTTCATGGTGAGTCACCGTATCTATCTGTTTCTAACTAATTTTAATGCCGTTTTTACGCCGTCCTCCTCCCCTTCCTCCCTCTCTTATTTACCTCACCGTGTTATCACGGTCTTTTTTACGACCGTGATGCGCATTTCGTTGGTGAAACGAATAGAAAAGAAAGGAAATTTTCTATTTCTTTTTTTTTTTTTTTTTTTTTTTTTCCCTTTCTTTCTTAACGAGATATAAGATATTTTTACGAAGGAAATTTATGAAATTTTAAACGGCAAATTTTCGTTGATATTTTTTACACTCGATTTCTCCTCGCTTTTTTTCTTCTTCATCCTTTTCTTCGTCCTCGTCTCTTCCCTTTCTTTTTCTTTTTCTTTCTCTTTTTTTTTTTTTTTTTTCTTTTCACTGCTCTCGATTACGGATCGACGAGCGGACCCGTTATAAGTAACGCGATTTTATGCAAAATTTCCCCCATGACGGGTTGCCGCAACTTCCAGCGAGATATATAGCACGTGTCACGTGCAATTTGCATAATGCGACATCGACACTTCCTCCCATGTATCGGAACGTTATCTTTATACGCCGTCGTATCGTTTCATATCGCGGATTATCGAGCGCGCGGTTTAAACGTAACATCCGATAATAGCGAATTTCGGGGAATCGAAACTGTCCCATAAATATCGATAAACAAGGACTACCGAAAGTATCGAAAACTTCCGCCTCCTGTAAAATTTATCGCAATTTTATCGCGACTTCGTGATAATATTCAATGGGCATAATCATTCCAGATAAAGGCTGGTTCGACAAATCGAAATTCATCCTGTAAATATATATAAACTTTCTCAAATCCTTACCTACTACCCACCGTACATCAACCCATCGAGTTGGGAACCAATTAATTTGAATTACCTACCCGAGAATTTTATGCTTTTTTTTTTTTTTTTTTTTTTTTTCTCTCCTCTTCATTAACAGATTTCGAGGAATTTATTTTTCTCGATATCCCGCTTTAATTCGACGTGGAATCGTTACCCGACTTACTAATTGAGTTTATTTCGTTTCATTATTCGCCCCTAAATTCTTCTCATGATTGGGCCGGGAATATCTTAATGCACGGCGGTCCTCCGCATAGCCGCGTTACGCAAATTAGGAGCATAACTTTGCTTATATCCCGTAACGTGGCCGGCTAATTAAGAAAAGCGTCGGATAAGCGGCCGTATCGGCCGATTCGATTCGTTCGATTTCTCCCGTGGTTATGCCATTCCGTTTTGTTGCACGGATATTTGGGGGAGTTGTAAGAGGAGACCAGTCGAGGGACCAGAGAAGAGAAGAGAGAGAGAGAGAGAGAGAGAAAAGAGAGAAAGAGAGAGATTGGCGGGTTACGGGTCAGCCACGGTGGGGCATTAATAATCGTTTACAATCTTTAAAGCAGGGTGTGGCGAGTACGTTAACCCTTTCCTCCCTCTTCTTCCTCTTCTTCTGTTCCTCCTCCGCTCCGGCTTCCTCCTCTGCTTCTTCTCTCTTTCTCTCTCTCTCTCTCTCTCTTCTCTCCTCTCCTCTCCTCGCCCTCTTCTCGTGATCGCGGACGGACGGACAAAACAGGAGGAAAAAGTGCTGGCTCGCCTTCGTAAACCAGTTGGACGTATATATATCGTGAAAAAAGGATAATCAATGGCGAAAGGGTACACGCGCTCGATCTGTAGTCGTTTTATCGTCATGACGATTCCAGCATCGGGGAGGGAGGGAAGGGAGGGAGCAAGGATTTATTTCTCGATCATTGAAAATGCGTTGCGCACCCCCCCCCCTCCCCCCTCGATTTACAAATCGTTACCTCTCCTCGTTCTTTTCCAAATACGCGAATTTTCGATATTGTAAATTGGATGTAAACGAGCTCGAGGCAGAGAGAGAGAGAGAGAGAGAGAGAGGGAGAAAGAGAGAAAGAATTTCTTTGTCCCGGACGTTTGGATGGTGACTTTGAAAATAGAGGGAGGGGCGAGGATTAAAACTGAGAAATTAACATCGGGAAACTCGACAAACCGGTATAAGCCTGTTTAATTTCGTCGCTCGCACCTCTCGACCCCTTTTCGAATAAACATTCCTTGGCAAGGAAGTAAACAAGTTTATCTTACGAATCGAATATTTATTTAATCGCGCACAGTGTCGGTACGGATTTATGAGAATTTCGTCTCGCGGAACGGAACGGAACTTGTTCTTTCGCACGCCTGTTTTCACCGAAACCCTTCGCGGACGATTATCAGATTGGCGCGTTAGAAACCTCCAGCCGCGTCTCGCGTCCTATCTTAATGAGTCTCAACTTGCTCGAGACCTTGATGGGGAGAGAAAGACAGAGAGAGAGAGAGAGAGAGAGAGAGAGAGAGAGAGGGAGAAAAAATGCGCGCGACAATCGAAGAGACGCGAGACGATGCGAATCGAATGTTGGCGCGTTCGGCCAAAAGAAATTCTTCTTCCATCCCCGTGCCCCTCCTCGGCCTTAGGTGCATTATTAACGACCACGATAAATATGCGCGTTCTTTTTCGCAAGTGCGACGAATCGGCGATCGCGTGGACCGAGTCCTGGCGGAGAAAAAAATTCCCTCGAAGGAAGAACCCGTTCCTCCAGCACCACGTGTGCCCCTATCGGTTGTCCCATGAAAATCGGTCGTCGGCCCCTCGCTCACCTCCTCGTATTCGAGAAGGCATCGCCATTAACCCGACCGACCAACCACCACCACCATCGACGGTGCCACCTGCAGCGACGAATCAGCATATTTAGCGTCGAGCCGAATTTAATAGAGGCCATCGGTCGGGGCGTGCATCACGCGGTTGAATTCGCGAGACGCATCAATAATATTCGCAGTGATGCATACCATTAAGTATGCATGGCGAACCTCTCCTTTTTCGAATTCAATTCGCGATACCGGTGTTCGTTTACGCTCACGAGATACGTTTACGGTTTAAACGCATTTGCATCGTGACGTGCATCGATCGACACGTGGCCACGGTCGCATCATCATCATCATCGTCGTCCTCCCCCCTTTTATTCGACAATTTCCTGCTTCTTTCTGTATTTCTATATTATTTTATCTCGAATCCGAGGGAAATTTTGTATATCCCCCTATATTGTAATTAAATTTATGTTTTACAGTACGTACGCGTATAACGTAATAAGATCAAAGAATTACGAATTATTCGAAGCCGTATCGTACCGCGATACGGAGCTGCGTTTGATTATTCGCGCGGCAAGGTGAATACCGCGGCGACATTCGGAATATTAAAATCGCACGGCCGCCAATAAGATTTGAGTAATGCAACATTAAACGTTACTTGTATCCGTTTCTACGCGTTTGCGATTGTTTAAAACGTGCAGTAAATATTGACATTATTTTTACCTTCGTCGTGCGTCGTCGGGGAAGTCAATAAAGATTTTCTTCGTCACAAATGAACGTTTATCGGCCCATATATCACGGCGGGATATTTAACAACCGTGCGGGATAAATTCCGTGGAAGGGTGGAGACGGTTTATCGCGATATATTTTTCCTCCCCCTCCCCGTATAAGGATGGAAGAACGGTTTAAAACCAGCGAACGAAAGCAGCGTCGAACCTCGTCCATGGTCGGTGCCCTATGGACGTGAAAAATGAAAGAACGGTGTGCCACGATTCATCACCCGCGCGTACAGCTCGCAGTCCTCGTGAAAGTGATACATGCTTCTTGTCAAAGACGATACGCCGAGCGCCATTTGTTCCCTCCGTCAAATATACCCGGTAATGTACCTAATTTCCATTCGTCTTATCGTCCGATTCCGCGCTTAGGAATCCTCGCCTAAGATCGGCGAGGCCCTGGAAACTTTTCATCGGTAGAGAATATCCAGGTGGATATACCTGGAATCCTTCGAGATTGTATTTAATAGCACGAATAAACATCGAAAACGCGCTCTTAACGGAGAATTTTAATCGTCCTCTTAAAACTTTTTTTTTTCTTCGCGTTTATTATTATAGTCAGATTCATGCCGCTCTTTATTTTGTTATTAAACAAAAATTGGAAATGTCAACTTCGCCTGAAAACTGAAAATCTAGAAATTTTTAATAGCAATAATAATTAAAAAGCCATAATTATTGAAGATAATCGTGAATAATTCGCGAATTAATATATAAAAGCGACGAGTTCGAATTGTTCGAGATTTCCTTTTTTTTTTTAACGCGGCTAACCCCTCTATAATAATAATAAACATTCGTTAAATTTTCTTCATCGTTTTTATCGCACTTTTATACTCCCTTATAAAGGAGAAAACAGGTATGCGCACGTCTCCTTTTCATTACCATTAAAAAAATCGATAAGTTCGATCTTTTAATATCGTACGTTAAACTGTCGAAAAGAGGCGTTTACGAAGGTAAACTTGACTCTTTATACGGGGATCGTTACTTTTTAGCGGAGAGCGGGGAGCGCGGGTTATTCCGCCCGTGTAAGCACTTGGGTTTATTTTTTTATTAGAGCGACGCGGCAATTTTTGTCTTTCCTCTTATCTGCCGCGAACCAGGCAGCCGCACGATACAAGGGAAGGTCGTACGTGGCGTTTTGAACGTGACGCCCACGCGATATGCGTGCACCGGTATCGTACCGGTTTAATTGTTCCGATGGATTTAAAGTTGGCGTCCGAAATAAATGAATGTCGCTTGCCAACGCGCGGTACGATGCAACCATGGTATATATGGTCGTCACGGATTATATTTCTTCGCTACGTACTTATACGTGAGTGAAACTCGCGCGAGTTGCAGACTACTCCTCTTCGAATTCTTTTCCGGAAACGTCGGAACGTGGCACGTTTTAATCATCCTACGATTAAATTCGATTTAACGAAACTCGTGAAATTTCGTATCGTTCGATCAATCGCCGGTCGATCGTCGGCCGCCAAAAAAGGCGCGCGACATTGCGAAATATTAATTGGCTCTCGCTTCGATCGTATCGTAGAATATATATATATATACTTTTGAGAATTTGAGATTGAAAAGTCGAACGGAA